TGGTTGGGGGTCACCACAACATGAAAAAAGGTGGCAGCATTGGGAAGGTTGATACCGCTGCACTCTCCTGTCACTTTTGAAAACTAAACTTCCATTATTTTCTCAGTGATTACCTGGTTAACTTATTTCCTTCCTTCCTTCCTTCCTTCCATTTGGACAGGTTTTTATGAAGCCCAAGATCTCTCTATGTACCTGTGGATGGCCTTGAACTTCAGATTCTCCTGCCTCCACCACCCAAGTACTGGAGTGACAGATGTACACCGCTGTGCCCAGCGTCTCCCCTCCCCTGTGCGAGGACCCACTGTCCACCTCCGTCAGGCTTTGTGAATGGCTGGATGGCCTGTCTTTCTTTCACAGGGGTCATACCCTGCTGCTTATTATGATCTGGGTCTGAGATGTCCCTGCTTTAGGTACTGTTCTATTGTGTGAGTGATGCAGAGACCAAGGCAACTCATAGACTAAAGCATTTACTTGGGTCCTTGCCTACAGTTTCATTGTGGTGGGGAGCATGCAGGCCTGTATGTTCATGCAGGTGCTGGAACAGGAAGAGCTTATATCCTGATCTGCAGGCAGCAGACAGACAGATGGACAGAGGGAGGGAGAAAGGAGGGAGAGAGAGAGAGAGAAAGAGAGAGAGAGGAGACTAGGCCTGGCAGGGGCTTTTGACACCTCAAAGTCTACCACTCCTAGTGACAAACCTATTCTGACAAGGCCACGCCTCCTAACCCTTCCAAACAGTTCTAGTAAGAAGAGACCAGACATTCAAATATATGAGCCTATGGGTGTCATTCTCATTCAAACCACCAGCCCCCAACAAGCTCCAGCACCCAACAAGCTTGTGTGTTTGAATACTTGGTCCTCAGCTGGTGGGACTGTTTTGGGAAGTTACAGAACCGTTGACTGTGTGTCGGTACCAGATGTCCAGCTGGTGACAGTGAGTTTCTGGGGTGGCCCTTGAGGTTAGTCACCTCTGGTTCTGAGTGGGCCCCTTCTCAAGCCCCCAACACTGCAGATGGTGCCGCCATAGCTTGTTCAGCTTGTTAAGTAGTTAGACAAATAGCAAAAGCCCTAGAAACTACTGAAGGCAGACCAGACCCTCCCTCATAGTACATGTCGGAGCCCTCCTCCCCTTATCACATGCAAAGTGGAAATTTACTAAAGCCCATCAAGGAAAAGCTAATTCTTCCTGGTCAAAAAAAAAAAAAAAAAAATCTAAACTCAACCTCTGGCTCTGACATTCTAAACTACCCAAAACATCACCCACTTCTGCTTCCTCCCTAGCAGCTAATTACTTTTCAAGGAGACCTATTGAAAGCTTCTGCATCGGCCCTTGGGTCTGCAGGGTCCACATGCTTAGGCTCAACAAGTCACAGTTGAATATATTCAGAAAGAGGTTGGCTGGCTGGCTGACTGGGGAAAGGTGCCCGCCGCCAAACCTGGCTGCCTGAGGTCCATCCCTGGGGACCCACATGACAGCAGGAAAGAACCAACTCTTGGAAAATGTCCTCTGACCTCCGTCTGAGTGCCTTGCCTGCTTGTTATTCCCTAAAACAACAGTCTCACAATTGCTCACCCCACATTAGGTCAGGGTTAAAAGTATGGAGGGATTTGTGCTACCTGCTTCACTATTTTACGTACAGGCTATGGGCGTCACAGGTTTCAGTGTCCACAGGGGTCCTTGAATTCCTCCTCTAGGCACTGAGGGACAGAGATGACCAAATGTCTGGGCTGGCGATGGGGTGGCTGACAGGCTCAAGCCCATCCCTGATAACACCGCTCAGATGTTCATTCTTCTGAAGCCTGTTTGTGGAACTGGAGATGAGCGTCCCAGGCCTGGGTGCCTGAGGCTTTCCGAGGGGACCAGGGAGTAGGTCAATACGGGGCCCACCAGACGCTCAGATGTCACTGTTGAAGTCCAGACACTGCGGCTGGACTTTAGACTTTAGACACTTTAGGACAGACCCTAAATGAATCCTTCTGTCCTCGGGGCATCCTTCAGATCTACAGCAGGAAACAGCTGAAGTGTGACTTCTAGACCGCTCTAGATGACTGATGGGCTAGCCTCCTAAAGAAGCTCTGGATGAAAACGTTTCCCCCATCCCAGGGGTAGAAAGAATTTTAAAATTCTGAGGCTGTGTGCCCTAAAAGTTGTCACAGCAGGCCCCCGACACAAGGTTCTCAGGAGGCGACGCTGATATTATTGAGTGATAGCTGCAGACATTATCACCTCCGGTTAAGAAATCAGGGAGTGCTGGCTCAGGCACACAAGAATCTGGACCAGATGCAGACTCAAGGGCACAGTGTGGGGTGAAGGAGTCCCTGCCGCCCTGCGCCCCCTTCTCGGTTCTGGCACAGGGCCAGTTGGATTTCTGGAGCCTCGTGATTTCCCCACTCACTCTGGGGCCACCGGGCCTGGGCCCCATCAGCTCAGGCACTCTTCTCAGACAGGAGGTCCTGAGAGCAGGTCCCCGGTCCAGCTACAGAACGAGCTTTGTCTCAGCAACAGGCACACCCAAACTTGAGGGAGAGCTGCAGACCACATGAGAACTTCCGGCCCTGCTGCCCTGCAGGGGAGGGGGGATGGGAGGGACTTCACCTGTGCTGAAGTGGGTTGGGAGCAGGGAGGCCCACTACAGGCAGGTGACCCGGCTCTGTGCCCTCCCTGCCCTGCTGTCTCCCTCTGTCTACCTACGGTCACTGTGGATCAAGAATTCATCTCAGGAAAAGGCACACAGAACCTATCCCCCCAGATCGGAAAGCCAAGATGGAACCCAGGTGGGCCGTGTTCAGGAGGATGGAGCTAGGGAAGCTGCTGAAGGTGGGCAGGGAGAGGGGGCAGCCAGGGGCATGGAAGCCAGCTAGGAAAACCCATATGCCGCTGTCGCCAGCTGGGTACAGGGACCCTAAGTGTGCAGCAAAATACAGGTGCTTTGGGGCTGCCCTGTTTTGTTTTTCAGACAAGGTCCTACCTATCCTTGGCCGGCCTTGAACTTACTACGTAGCTAAAGATGACCTAAACTCTTGATTCTCCTGCCTTCCCTAGTTCAGACACCCTGCCCCCATGTCCCAGGGTAGTAGGGTGAGGCCACTATGGCTACTTTTTCTCTCTCAGTTTTGGGAGCAGCTTCCTCATGCCCTTGCCTCTCTTGAATAGGCTCGTGTCCAGCAGAGGACTGTTACCTGAGAAGAGCCACAGTTTGGGGAGCAGGCGGAGGTGACAGATGAGTGAGAGGGCACCCCTAAACTGGATGGAGACGGGGATCAGACAGTGGTGAAGGTTCACACTTCTGCCAGGACTCTCCTCAGCCAAAGCCAAAACTCTCTGGATGTGTTACCACCTGCAGTGCTGGGGGGGGGGGCAGGCACATGAGGGGGGCGAGTACATGAGGGGGCACCCAGAATCCTAGCTCCTCCCGGTTCACAGTGAGAGACGGGTGGGTTTGTTTGTTTATAAAGATGGCTTCACTATCTAACCTGGATAACCTGGGCTGGCCTTGAACTTGGGCAAAACTCCTCCCTCAACCTCCTGAGCACTGAAAACACATCACATCTGGCAAGACCCAAGTAAAAGACGTTAAGTAACTAGAAGAGTGCTACTAGAGCCTCTGCCCTTGGCTTTTTCGGGGGAGCGGGGCAGGGCTGGTGTCTTCCTGCTCCTATGGATACCTATGCGCCTCCAGCCTCAATCTTCCCATCAGATCTTTGCCTCTCACAGTTTTAATCAACTCAGAGTGATGGAAGCCCAACTGGAGCTTGCCAGAACAGCGAAGCCGCAGGCAGAGTGTGTGGAGTTGTCTGTCACACAATGTTGGGAATTAGGTGCTAAGGCAGTCTTGACAACCACAGAGACCAGGCATGCCTACCTTCAAGCTCATCTCTCCCGGGCCTGCCCACCACACACACCAGGAGGTGCCCAGCTCCAACCCAGGCAGACACTCTGGAAGCCCAGCACCTTTAAGGAGCCGGTGAGGCAGGGGTTGAACCAGCCACAGTCCCTGTCCCCATGGAGCCAGTCTAGCAGAAATGAAGAGCTTACATAAAGCCATGACCCACAGGGAGTGGTGGTGCTCGCCTTTAATCCCAGCAGAGGCAGGTAGATAGATGTGAGTTCAAGGCCAGCCTGGTCTACAAAGGGAGTCCAGGACAGCCAAGGCTACACAGAGAAGCCATGTCTTGAAAAACCAAAAAAATAAGCCCAAACAAACCATGACCCAATCTGTTAAAGACATTGTTTCACTTCAGGTACAAGAAACCGAACTGAAGAGAAGGGGCTTTCTCTAGCGACAGACAACCAGGCTAAGGCGAAGACAAAACAGCCTGGCCAAGGCGACAGACAGCTGGGCCAAGGCAAGGGACTCTCACTGGGTACCACTCCGGCTCTTTTGCTCCTTTTGGAGCTCCTCAAATCCCTCAACTCTCTTCCAAGAAGAGTCCTCCTCCCACACCCCAGGGCTCCCTCAGTTCCCAATCCTGCCCCTGTGGAGGCGGGGACTGCAGCCATTTCCTTCCATCTCCAGGGACCCAGGACTGGACTCTTCCCCTGTCAAGGAGCGCCTGGCTCAACATCTTGCTCGCTGGCTTTCACAGACGCCCGGGCCCCTTCTCCGGGTCCTGCTCTCATTGGACTGCCCGGGGCTTCCCAAGGCGGTCGGCTCTCCCGGATGCCCAGTTCATAAACCAGGCGAGCTCAGGATGCCGAGGGTGTCAAGCTTTTCTTCCGGGAGTCCTGGTCGCTCTCCCGCTGGCTTCGCGGGAGGGGACAAGGAAGCCACCGGCTTTCCGCATGCCAGAGATGTCGCCCCGAATGCAGCCAGCTTCGGGGCGTTTCTCGGCTTTCACCCTGGGCACTCCTATCACCGGGGTCTTTCGGACACACGGGAGATGCTGCCGACCTCTTGGCTACCCGCTCCCGCCAAGGCGCCCGCCAGGCTGGGGGTCCCCGGGGTGGCCCCGGGAGCTACCCTCCCCGGGCCCCCTCCTTCCGAGCCCCGCGCCCCTACCTGCTCCGCGCGGCCGCTCCGCCTCCTCCCGGCCGCGCTCCCGACCAGCGCCGTCGCCTCCGGGTCCCGCCCCGCCCAGCAGGCGACCCCTGCCCGCCCACCGCTCCGGCGCCGCCCTGTGGTGTCCCCGCCACTAGCGGGGACGTTAGATCTGGCGCACCTGCAGCCACCGACTGCAGTCAGACTCCAGAGAAGTCAACGGAGGAGGAAGGGACCCAGTATAGACCAGACCCGCACACCGATAATCCCGGGTGCACAGGCAGCAGGGGACACCAAGCGTCCTGCGGCGAGTTCAAGGCTGGCTCGGGCAGGAATTAAGTTTCAGCTTCCCTGAGCTATGGAGTGAGAGGCGGTCTCAGAAAACAAGAAGGCTCAGAGGGTCAAGTGCTTGGGTCGCAAGCATGAGGAAATTCCCCGCATCCAATCTAAAAAAAAAAAAAAAAAAAAAAAAAAAAGGCCAGTACCCACAGCAGGCGGTTCAGAACTGCCTGTAACTCCAGCCCCAGCGTCTGTAGGCAGGCACCTGCACTCCTGTGCTCTTTCTCTCTCTCTCCTTCCCTCCCTCACTCTCTTTGTCTCTGTCTTTCTGTCTGTCTCTCTCTCACATACACACATTATTTAAAATATAACAAATATTTAAAAAAAGTAAACCTGGCCAACACTGGCAATCTGAGGACTGGGGAAGCAAAACCAGGAGGTTTCCTGGGGGGGGGGGGACCTGGCCATCCCCTCAGGACAAACTGGTGAGCTCCAGAGTCAATGAGAGACTCTTGTCTCAAAATAAATAAATAAATAAATAAATAAATAAATAAATAAATAAATAAA